TATGTGTGTATGTTATAATAAATGTATTAACAGAGCTGTTTTAATGATTATTATCATTATTATTGTCTTACTTTTTACAGTAAACTGTAACAGTAAAATTACAATACTAACATTTATGAATGTTGATAAGAGTTCTTGCTTTTTCTCAACTTTTATTTTGGCGGAAACGCGCAGGAAGACCTCAGCGCTTCTTTTTGTTGACAACAGCAGATTTATAAATGAGTCTCATTATGAATACGTCGTACGTATCGCATTGTCACATGACTGAGCAACTGACGAGTAACAATGTTTCAGGGCAGATTTTCCTCACGCTTTGGACTTTGAACCCTGGTTATCAAGCAGATCTGCTGCGAGTTCGTGCAGCGCTGTCAGAATACATAAAATGCGTGCGTGTATTAGAAAACATAACGTTCTGCAGTTTATTTACTAATTGTTTAAGGCCATTTCGCGATTTCAATCATCATACAGTAACCAGCAACAATCACCCCTTCCTCTTCTCATTGAAGACATGCGATGCAGTCCTAAACAGTCTCTCGCTGTCGCTGCTTGTAATGATTGTTGCGTCTTTCTCCGACAGTTTAAATGCTTCCACACTGCTGACATGTGTGCTGCATTATAAAGAATGTGCGCCTCTCACTCTACGCTGGTTGCTATTTGATCGCGTCATATCATTGTTCGGTACAATTTATTCGGTCTTTTCGCTTATTCAGCCGAACACCGAAAGAGCTTTTTTTGCTATTTTCGGCCGAATAATTTCGGTTGCCGAACATTCGGTGCATCCCTATACAAAACATGGTGACATAAATTTTTAAGTAAATATAATGTGCGATATATTGCGTCACCAAAAATGATTGAGGTCATGTACATATATTGCACAATAAATCGATATATAGATTATTGCGACAGGCCTAGACACAAACACGTCAAATCAAGACTATGGTGAGAAAGTGCCATTTCAAGTGAATGTTTATTCACTAATCAAACTCTTGTCAGGCTCATTATAAGAAGTTAATATATCTGTATTGTGCGAGTCTCCTCACAGCTCAGTGTCCCCGAGTCGGTCCATGTGCTGGACGTACGGCGGGAGTTTGTGATGGACCATCTCCTCGTCTTTCTTCAGGCGCGTCTCTCCGTGAAGAGCAAATAACTGGAACAGACCCAGATATCAGATTACAGACAGATGCATCTTTCCAAAATTACCTTGTTTCCATTGTAAGCGCTTCACTATACACATCTGCAAACTAACAGATGTGCAGAACTGAACTGTTTTATTCCAGTGCAACTTTTAAAATGCAGTACTACCTTTTTTTATTATATTACATGTATCATTATTATTTAAGCATATACAGTGGGGGAAATATTTATTTGATCCCCTGCTGATTTTGTAAGTTGCTCACTTAGAAAGAAATGAAGGGTCTGTCATTTTTACGGTAGGTTTATTTTAACGGATAGAGACAGAATATCAACCAAAAAATCCAGAAAAAACACATAAATATTTCCCCCACTGTATTTATATATTAATGAATAGTGTTTTATTATTAAGATTTAACATTTGTATTTTTAGTACCATTTATATTAATATTACATTCATTCATATATTAATATTTTTAATTACTGATCAGTATAAATGTATTATCAGCATCAATTAAGTACTACCTTGAAATAATTTACCTTTATTGTTATTATTTGTATTATTATTATTTATTCAATTTATTATTGTTTATATTAAATACATATTTATATGTTGATGAATAATATTTTTAGTATTATTATTTTTATTGTTATTATTAAGCATATATTTATATATTACTGAATATTAGATTAATATATAAATTATATTTTTAATAATTGATCAGTATCAATTTATTATTAGTATAAATTATTTAGTACTACCTTGACATTTTTATAAAATCTGAGTTGTTACGTTATTATTATTTATTATTATTATTACTACTATTATATTATTTATATTATCTAGTATATATTTCTATATTACTGAATATTAGATTTATTTATATATTGATATTTTTAATTATTGATCTAAAACTATTTAATTCTACCTTTTTATGTTATTATTATTATTATATAACTTCTTATTGTACATTTATATTAATTAAAAATATTTGTATTATTACTAGTAATTATATTATTATTATTAACATTTAGTATTAGTATATTATTATTTAACTTTATTTTTCAGAAATAGAAATTATTATTAATAATAATAATAATTATTATTTTATATATGTATATTACTGAATATTATATTAATTAATATATTTTTAATTGTTGATTAGTATGATTCATTATCATATCGTAAGTGCTTCATTGTACAAAGGAATGAGTTGAATAACATATTTTATGTTTTATTCTAGTGCACATTTTTACAATGGAGTTGCATATCTATCATGTCACGTCAATGTATGCAATATTATTACTATAGTGTGCATTATTATGTCTATTGTGCAACATTCCTGTGCAATATTTGTCCACTCACTGGAGCCTTTAGAATGCAAACAATGCAACATGTACATCTTCCGTGCCAACTGTGCAATACGATATTTAATAAGGCTTAAATTTGCACTGTCTTTGTATTGTATCATTAAACAGCATACTGTTTATCGCCGACTGTATTGCAGATAAGGCTTAACTCTGCACTATCGCCTTGTTTGTATTGGTTTGTGTATTGTTTGTCTTGTATCGTATAGTAATAACACTTTTTTTTCTCTGAGCTGCTCGCTCTCCTCCTGAACACTCGTGATTCTCTGGACTTCACCGTCGAAGCTCAAGAGCACAGGCTGAGGTGACGCTGTTAAGGAGCTCAGTCAGTCTGATCTCATTACAATTAATGCACATACAAAATTTAAACAAAAAGTATTATTTCTATGCATCAAAGTCACATTAATGCTATTTCAACAGCTGAAGGACCATCATAAGCATCCCATAGCAGGCAGTGTTTGGATATGCATGCACTGGAAGAGGACGCTCAGGAAGTTGTGCAGAGACACCAGGAAGGTGTCGGCCCACTGGCGGGAGAAATACGGAGAGAAGGAGGGATTCTGCTCCGGCGCCGGGATGAAGGGCAGAGCGAACCAATCACGCCACTCCGGCTGAGCCTGCAGCTCCAGCACCTGCTTCAGGAAAAACTCCTGCGTCTTCTCTGTATTCTTCATCTGAGACACAGCAGAGACACAAGACATCGGTCTCCCACTGATGAACTATGCTGAGCAGAAAAATGACAGACAGATACAGAACCACACACTTCTAAACCTTTTTATTTATTATGATTATTTTACATTATTATTTATTTATTATTAATATTTATTTATTTAGTATATATTTACATATTAATGAATAGTATTTATATTATTATTATTATTATTATTTAATAATATTAATATATATATATATTAATTAATATTATATTAATTAATGTATTAATTATATTTTAGATTTTTGATAAGCAAAAATTAATAATTTAGCTTTTTATCATGTTATATTTATTATTAGTAGTTTATTATTTTTATTTTTATTATTACAACATTAAGTATATTTATATATTAATGAATAGTATTTTATTATTATCATTTTCATTATTAGTATAATTATTTACATTTAGTTTACATTGATATATTAATGAATATTATGTTAATTAATATATTAACAATATTTTAAATGATTGATCAGTGTAAAATTCATTATCAGCATTAATTACATTTAGCACTAACTTGAAATAATACAGCTTTTATTACTTTATTATTGTTTTTATTTTTATAGTTATTATTATTATTTATTTAATATATTATTATTTTTAAGTATATACTTATATATCAATGAATAGTATTATAATAATTATTATTATTTAATGTTATTACTTTTAGTATTGTTATTTATTACTGTTATTATTTTTATTACGGTAAGTATTTACCGTATTTAATTTATGTTATTTTAATTGATCTACATTTAATTTATGGGTATTTATTATCCCCATAAATTAAATGTAGTACTACCTTGAAATAATATAGCTTGTTTTGCATAACAATAACAAAATTAGAGGGACAAATGTGTGTAATCACCATGAAAATGACACAACAATACAAAAAGCCTTAATGATCCAAGAAAATGTGCTTCAGTTTCATTTATGCAAAATACAATTTCTAACTTCGGTCTATTGATTTGTGTGTGAAACATGAGCGGGACATGTTCTGGAGCACCTGAACCGTGTGAATGATGTAGAAGCGGTAGAGGCTGGTCCTCAGCTTGTTGACGGTGGGTCTGTAGACGTCCTCCAGTCTGGAGAAGAGCCTGCGGTCCAGATACGTCCAGTACTCCTTCAGACCAGTCAGATCAAAACTCTGAATCAGCTGCTGGAGCTGATCGATGATCTTATCAACCTGTAATAAAACACGAATCAACAAAACCCTGAGATCTGACTGTGGAGAGAAAACTGTACAAATCGGCACAACACAACATTAAATATACTGATGTGGAGGAGTTTGTTTCTTCATCAGATTTGGAGAAATGTAGCATTGTATCACTTGCTCACTGCAAGTGAATGGGTGCCGTCAGAATGAGAGTCCAAACAGCTGATAAAAACATCACAATAATCCACACCACTCCAGTCCATCAGTTAACATCTGGAGAATACAAAAGCTGAAACTTTTTACCTAAAATACATTGAGTCCATGATCCATAATAAGGCTTCCTGCAGTGAAAAAGTGTTCTGGTCTGAATCGGGAGAGAAATCTGCACAGATCAAGCAGCGTTTAAACAGCTCTAAACTAATATGTGGCTGGATTTTGATGTGAGAGACAACAGGAGATGCACTTTTTCACTGGAGGAAGAGTTATTATGGATTATGGACTCTATGGTATTTTAGTTAAAAACGTCTTAATGCTGGATGTGTTTCAGCTTTTGTCTTCTCCAGATGTTAACTGATGGACTGGAGTGCTGTGGATTACTTGTGGATTATTGTGATGTTTTTATCAGCTGTTTGGACTCTCATTCTGACGGCACCCATTCACTGCAGAGCATCCATTGCTGAGCAAAATATTTCTCAAAATATGATGAAGAAACAAACTAATCTTGGATGGCCTGAAAATGAGTACATAACTATTTGATACTTATACATTAATTCACAATATTTGAAAATAAAAATAATAAAATAATTATTTTTTTGGAGAATGATTTAAACGTAAAAAGTATAAGAAAATGTTATTACAGTACTTTTTACTTGGCGGTTGTCATTCAATTGGAACAGTTCTTGAAAATCGTATAAAAACCATATGAAACGAACATGAATACAAAGAGTACGTTTATCAAAGGCAAAGCCTGTTCTGATGGGCAGATGAAGACTGCCAAACAGCCCTATTGATCGGTGACGCTGACATCAATTCCCATCTACATCTCTCTTATTTTCTAACTGCCCTTGAGGGTCAACAATCTATTGTGATGAGAGACACTACTGGTCCTTCTAGAAGATGAACAAATAAAACACCAGCCAAGACAGAAAATACATGTCTGCTAAATGGGGCTATTGTTTCAAACATTATAACAGCGTCTGCAAAGGACAGCATGTGTGGCCCAAGGCTTTCAAAACACGTTCCACTGAGGTCAGGGTGTGATGTTTTCTCCTGTCAGGCACTTCAACAACGGTGAAAGCAGGGAAAAGCAATATCACAGCAACTCAACACCTCCCCCAAGCACTAAAAACCCATGAAAAACTCTGAAGGCTGAGAATGAGGAAATAAATGTGCTAAATATAATTAAAACAGGTTACGTGGGAACTGCGTTTGTTCTATTATTTCCCTATAAGATCCAGCAGTAACATTTATTATGGGAAGCATCACTGTTAGCACTGCTTATAAGTGTTAGGGATTTGAACAACCTCTAACCCTATTAAATTTTGGCATGTTACTCATCTTGCACAAACATGAATGATATATTGAATCAAGCAGCTTGTTGAGGAGAGATGTGCTATTATTTTAATAAGTTATCTGACTTTAAGGAATAGTTCACCCAAACATTAATTAATTTGATCTCACGGCCCTCAGGCCATCCAAGATGTTGATGAGTTTGTTTCTTTGTCAGATTTGAAGAAATGTAGCATTGCATCACTTGCTCATCAATGGATCCTCTGCAGTGAATGGGTGCCGTCAGAATGAGAGTCCA